ACCAACCACGCCACCGAGTACTGGCCATGCGTCCGGTTCCGCCGTGCGTCGTGGGGCGGCTCCGGTCTCTTTCAGCTTCCAAGCCGACACGCGCCCCAACCCAGCGTCCGCCTCGACTGACGGGCCAGCGCGCAGAGAGCTGACCGGTCGTCAGTAACGTGGGAGACGCTCATCTCTGCGTGCGCGAGCCGCGGGGTGGTTTCAGTTTGCTCGGCAGACGGCACAGAGTCCACTGTGGCAAGAAATCTTTTCTGAATTACTCGAGATTATTTTGATGATACCAACGGCCAGGGCGTGCGCCAAGGTGGGCACCAAACGCCCTATAAAGGGGGTCTCAAGGGACTCGAGGTCTCGTGGGTTCCCGAAGTACAAATTCTCATTACGAATAGTAATCGCTTAAGTCTACTACAACACAGTTCTGATTCGCTATGAAATTCAAGGTTTATTGGTCGATTCTCAGGGATTACGCCCCATGCTTCCCATGCTACTTCGGAGGTAATATTGTAGCTCGGGGATATGACTTGTTCAGATGTGTAGGTCACCGTTGGTGGAAGTGATGAGGAGTTTACTGTGACTAAATGCACCGTTAATATACGACCAGCCCCTTCAGGTTGCAGGTTTCACAATTAAATGACACTGAGTCATTAATATATTGGCGGTCGCCTCCAGCAGTGTGATGCACCGCGAGTAGGTCGCCCGCTCGTCACCGTGGACGATGGGTTGCCGCCCTCTGCAATCGGCGGCGGCCGACCCTCAGTGTCGTCCCGCCAGTGGGGCTCGGCTGGCAGGCGCCGGGCGGGCCGTCCCGCTCGACAGCACTGCTGTGCGGGTCAGCCTACCCACACGGCGCTTGCGGCCGCCCGCTTAGTGCGCTTAGCTCGCTTAGCTCGCTTCGTGGTGTTGCACCCGGCAAGCACGCGGAAATCTCTAGCATTCGGAGGCGGAGGACGATATCTGGATTCGTCACGCCTCGGTACGAAGTACAAATAAAACACTTGGTAATAATAATATTGTCAAGTTTCACTTTATTTTATATGCCGTTCTAGTTGGTTAAATCAAATGTCTTTATCGAATGACGCGAGTCTTCTCGCTGCCGCAGGGTGGCGGTGGCACAGCCGCTGCTCGCCGCCCCTAGACCTGTCCCTCTTCCACAACGTCACACTCGTCGCAGAGCACCTCGGCTCCGGGCAGCACCCGCCGCAGCTCGGCGCGCTGCTGGCTGCAGGTGGCTGGCTGGTGCCTGCAGAACCACCTCCACAGCACGAGCTTCCTGAGCGCCCGCACCCCGCACTGCTCCAGCAGCGAGTGCAGGTCGCCGCAGGGGCAGCTGATGGGCCACTCGTCATCGTATCCCTCCGCCGTGCCCACTTTCAGCTCCAGCTCCTCCAGCGTGCCGCCGTGCGCCCGCAGCAGGGACTGTGTCGTGGCACGGGGGATGTACCACAGCTTGAGCCACTGCAGGCCGGCGTGTCCCGGCGGGAGCGCGGGCAGCTGGGGGGGCTCGGGGTACAGGACGACGTCGTCACTCAACACGTCCAGCCTCCTTAGCCGCGGCATGGCGTGCACCGCGAGCAGGTGGGCCCCGCGGGGGCTGCACACACTCACAAGGAGGCTTAGGCAAGTGTAAATTCCCGATCTTGTCTAAACTCGGTATATTTGTTTCTTATCTATATTGATGACGACTGGCGGTAGTAGTTTTTCCTGAGAGTCAATTTCTGGGGTACTTTAGGGGAGCAAATAATGGAAAAAATGTTGAATTTGGGCCAAAAATGACGGAAGGAGGTCTCAAATCGAAAAGTGGTAGAGGAACTACCCCCCCAAAACCACTCATTTTGAGTCGGACTTCCACTTAAAATTTGTAGAAAAGTAGAAATTTGTATTTTTCGAAATTATACGCTTTTATAGGGAGTTTCGACATATGACTCTCAGGAAAAAAAATGGTCGGCATTCGTCACCTACATAGATAAGAAGCAAATATACCGAGTTTGGGCACGATCGGGAATTTACACTTGCCTAAGTCCCCTTGTCAGCCGCTCCAGGGTGGGCGCGGCGCGCTGCAGCAGCCGGAGGCTCCAGGCGGGGTCCATGTGACACCACACATTGACCAGCCGTGTCACCTGCGGGGGAACAGAGTCACTCTCAGGGCGGCCGATAACTTGCGGGACTGTCTGTAGTGTGCCAGTGTACCGGGCCGCTCCCCGCAGCCTCGTGCGGGGCCGTGAGGCTCGAGGTCCGGCGCACACTCACCCCTGGCGCGTCCCGCAAGGCGGCGGCCTTCTCCTGCTGCTTTTCGTTGCGTCCATAGTGGCTCATATCGTTTACATCCAACTCCCGAGGGGGCAGCGCCTCGGCAGGTGGTGGGTCACGGGCGGCAAGGAGGGCTGCAGGAGGTGAGGGTGCAGCTGCAGGAGGTGTGGGTGCAGCTGCAGGAGGTGAGGGTGCAGCTGCAGGAGGTGTGGGTGCAGCTGCAGGTGGTGGGTCCCGTGCAGCAGCTCGGTCCTGCACAACAACACTGAGTAGTACACGGAGGCACAAAGCAGGTCTGACGCCATTGCGTGCGAACGGTATAGTTAAGCCGTGCTCATGGACGGGCTGGATTGCTCTAGGTTCAGATACTAGCTAAAATTAGAAATTTGACTGACTCCCTCCAATGACTTCAGCACCAAGAAGTTAGTGACGAGTCCCCCCGGAGGACCGTTTAAGTCCTGCGGGGAACGGGTCAGAACGAGTGTAACGAACGAGTGATTCCAGAGCTTTTACCCCTTGCCACTCACCCGGCGGCACGTCGCACAGCTGCTGTCCGGCAGCCGCTGCAGGCACTGCAGGCAGGCCGTGTGCCCACACAGCAGGACCTGGGGCACCCGTTCGGCGCCGTCGAAGCGCTCGGTGCAGGTGTTGCACTCCAGGTCCATGCTGCTAGCGCGGAGCTGCAAAGAGGCCGGCCCGGGTAGCGCCGCGACTGGAGTGGGAGTGTCTCTGTAGCGCGGAGTAGCGCGGGACAAGCACAGCTGTGCGGCGATGACGTCACGGCGACTCCTCCTTTTTCACCGGTATTCCCGCCAAGGTCGTTATCTGACACTTTGGTTCCTGACGAACATTGGAAGCAAATTCTTTAAGAGACATTGCCCACTTCAGCCCTCCGCAGCCCGCGAGTAGCGGGGACTGGTGCACTGCGCTACAGAAGCGACAGGCGGTCCTTGACTCACTTGTTGGTCCTAACCTTTCCGTCGTCTTGCGGCTCGCTCGCGTCCACAAGCCGGCTCGCCCAGCGCCGCGAGTGCGACTGCAGAGACGCGTCTGCCTTTGGCAGAGGGGCTTGGAGTTCACTGGGGCTCCGCTGGGCTACGCGTTGCATCCAGTTGCATCGGCCGAGCGGAAACGGACCTTTCTGAACTGGAACTTGAACTGAACGAACTGAGTGTTGACTCTAGCACTCAACCCAAACTGCATGAGTCCGCCGCCAGAGGGCAGGCGATCCGCACCAACCCGCACCGCAGCCGGCTCGTTCCGCGGGAATCCATATGATTTTTAATACGGACCTTGTTTGTGGCCACAACTTTGCGGCCGCAACGCGCGCCCCAAAAATCACCATACGGACCGACTATAGGTATAGGTATCGATCTAGGCTAGGCTGTACGGAGGCCAGCCACAACGCACCACAACGATGCCACGACCTCTCTTATGAACCAACCTTCGCCCTACGGCCGTGTCCGCCGGGTTGCCTACCGCGCAGGGGTCCACCCACAACTCGTCTCAACTGCCCCAAGCCCGTAATAAGAAGTATAGTGGATGTTGGCTTCTTTTGGCTGAACTCGTGACCCTAACTAACTCATGGCGCTATTAAGACCTAGAATCTGGCTGTAAAGGAGCTCCATGACCTGTGGTGGGTCAGTACAGTTCAACTAACGTACGCGTTAACCGTCTCACAAACCCCGGGAGTATGTTCTGACCACTGTTGTTCGGCTGATCAATTTACGAACTCAGAAGTCGTCCTGCGGGGTGTGAGAAGTACTAAGTACTCCCCCATTTTATTTATGTCTGGGTTTGGGGGGGGGGGCGTGAGCATTTACGACGCCATAGTAAGTACGGATAAAGTTGCCTGTGGCCGGCCGTGTCGGTTGTAGCTACAACTAACTGTTGCTGTACAAACAGGGACGTAGCAACAATATTGGGGCTACCAACTTGTCTGTTGGCATTCCAAGTGTGGAAACGCACCAATTATTTACTCCCAGCTTTTACGTATGATTTTCTTGAGCTAATGAAGGCCCGTTAGTTAAGTTTTAGTACTCAACGGACGGCGCTGCCAGTGCCCGTGGGGCTGCCTAACCCATGAGCTCTCAGGCGTTCTGTGTCTTCCCTTGGGTTCCTTCGTGTCGGATCCGAAAGGTGGCGCCACCTGTGTAACCTGCTGCCACCTGCCACCTGCCGCTTGTCGCTACTCCGAGCTCCGGCGCGACTTCGGTCGGGGAAGGGTCGACCAATATTGAACTATATATATACTTCGGCTCGGTCTGTATTTGATGTCGACGGCCATAACGTATGGAAAACACACTAAAATATGGGTGACTGTGAGGAACCAGATGTTTAAAAATCTTATAACAGCACCATGATTGCTGTCTTCTGCTCTGCTAGGGTTTACCAATGTTGGTCTTCCCTTAGTCTTTCCCCAAAGTTTTAGGAGAAGAGTATGTGAATTGTTTCATTTTCTGGCTAAAGCATTTTCAACACCATGTGATATGTGATATTAATAGGTACAAGGCGGATGTTTTCAGTTGTTAAAAATATATTTATCACTTAACTTTACATAGACTTTGTGACAGTAAGATAATATTTTATAGTCGTCAAAGAGTAGTATTTTGCTGTCTTTAAGAAAATTACAGGACAAATATTTAATTTTGCAAATTGCACCAAAAAGAATAAAATATGCTAGGCAGATCTAACTTATAATGAAGAAAGTAGGTATGAAATATGAATATTCAGGTCCAGGTCTCGAGACGAATTCATCTCTGTGACAGATTGGCCAGTTTGGAAATAAAAGACCCATTTCTGATCTATAATAGTTTTGTAGAAAAAGTAGTTACGTCAACTCTAGCTCATTTAATATCTTCTTCCAAATATCAGTACTATGAAGAAATAAAAAGCCATAATTGGAGATAGAGAAACATACAGGAAACTCTAGTAATTTCAGATTAAGGACTCAAAACATTTTAAAATTTGTAAATATTAATGTTATCAACAGAAAATCTGTCAAATTTACCCTGTGAAATATCATATGGAACAACATTTATAAATTTATAATAGTAAGGGAAAGTAAGTATCTATATGTCTGAAAGTCACATTTGCAACCTGTTGGTCATATACCAAATTCAATGATAAAAGCTCAAAATTAATTCTTTGAACTTACAAAGATTCAAGGCTCAAAAGTTATCCATAGTTGGCTGTTTGACTAGAGTACATACAACAGGCCCAAATTATGGTATGTTTCATTTAAACTAGTGCAATTAAGGAATGCTGGCCTCACAAGTTGATAATTAATGACAGAGTAGTATAAGATATATATATATAAATGCAAATGCACCATCAGAAAACAGTATTTTACAAAACCAATCACAAATAGTTACCATTAGATCCCCTCTGACATATTTCCGAGGACAAGTAGTGTAGAGTCGTATGTACATTCAACTTTGAGTCTCAGAGGCTCACATTGTCGCTCTGAAGTTCTAATCATGGTACACAGACCTCCGTTTTCTCTTATTTCTTAAACATTATGGCATTCAATAAATTGTTTGAGCAAACCACAGAAATGCACAGGAAATAACAACAACAAAATTAAAATAAAAGAAACAGTAACTTAACATTATAATCACTTTGCCAAGGCTTATGGTTTTCAACTGCTACAAAAAGTTCATTGGCTCCCCTCTCATTATAAGTAAAATGGTAAAAACTTGTACCACTGTAAACACTTCCTAACTTCAAAACCAAAAAAGAATTAAAAACAAAAATAGATTGAATCTGGTCCATAAATACTTTCATTTTTCTTATCATACATTCAGTTCAATAGATTATGAAACTAGAAACAGGAACCATATCAAATTGGTATCTGCTACAATTTGGAATCAGCATAGCTCTAATCTCTCATTTTATCAGTTATAATTTTGAAGGGTTGTAAAAGAAATACAGTGCAGTACCTAATTAATTTTATATGGAAAATAGTAGTTCTTAACTTGAAGAGTTGGTCTTTTGGCTGGTTGGGTGAAGGAGTCTGTCTTCACCACTCGTGGAATGTTTATGAGTCAAGAATCACATTTCAGTCATGGTGAGCCCACCATCAGTACATACTGTAGTTTGTTACTGACAATGAGCTCAGGCGTAATCTCAGAAATTGGTGTCATAATCAGATCTTCTTCGAGAATAACCAGAATGAGTAGAACCATTGTTGCCGTAATATGCATTGTAGTAATAGCCATTCCATTCGGACCGCCAACTATCATACAAATTGGACATAGAATTCTCTTGAATGGAACCAGATGAACGCTAAAATTAAACAAATGAGTCATTAGATGTTTACCTTGAACAAAAAAAACTTTAATAAAATTAAACATTAATGGCTTACTTTTTTAGGAGGCTTGTCGTATGATCGGTCATTCCAAACGTCCTCCATATTGTACAGGTCATCAGCACCATAATTTTCTAATCCGCCCATGTGATTTTTATTTAACTCATTAAGCATGTCCTCCGTGAGAGGAGTTGGTTGTTTCTTTGAATTTTTGTGGCGATTCACAAGCTGAAAGAGACCAATAAAAAGTTCATAAAATGTACACAAAACAAAAACGTTCAAAATGTATAGTAAAAGTAAACAAAAACATACCACAGTGACACCAAATATAATCACAAAAAGTAATGATGCTAAGCCAATGACAATGCCAGCAATTGCCCACTGTGGCAAGAAAACGTCATCATCTGCATAGCCTACAGTTGGTATAATTTGTGGAGGAACAACTACAAGGGTAAAAAGAAAATTATTGAATTGTAATTAAAATTAAAAACAGTTGATGTTTCTAGATTGATGTATGAACAAAACAATATAGTACCAATGAAATCCGTATAGGTAGGGTCTAATATAAAGTTTCCAAGCTTCTTGAAAGCTGACTTTCGGTCAGTGGCAGCAGCAGGAGTCACATCTGAGCCATCATCCCAGTCACTATCGGCTTCTTCAGCGAGTGACAAGTTGCTGCTGTTGACTGACGGCAATTGTCCTTGCAATGCCTCATGGAAAAGCTGTTTAATTTCACGAGTATCCACTTCATCACCAATGTCAGTCAACTCAACGAAATAGTCAACCAAAATACTGCCCTCACTGAAAATAAAATGTTATTTCTTAATAAACCAAAAAAGGACAAATAAATTTTTGAAACATGTCGGATGGCCACTAACCTGAATGCTTCAATACGGATCTTTTTATACCAGCGACTTAGTTCAGAGTTGCTGTAGACAGCGTCCAGCTGGTAAAAGAAAAAAATTATCTTTAGAAAATGAGAAAAAATAATTATGGTATATGATTGTTGGTTTGGTGCCGACGAATACCTCATCATAGACATCATTAGCAAGATCTTGCCATTCCTTTGTATTGTGGTCCAAGAGCTCAGGCACCCATTTAGCCCCACCCACAAGCTTGATAGTGGCTGCCAAATCACATGATTCCATACAAAGACCAGGAGTGGTTGGTCGAGGGGTTGTTGTGGTGGTCGTGGTTGTCGTCGTGGTGGTCGTGGTAGTGGTTGACGTGGTAGCGTTGGCAGCCAGTTGCCTGGCCCTTTCGAGTAGAACCTCAGGCGACACCGGGGTCGTGGAAGGGGTTGGCCAACCAGTAAAGACGGTGGTTGCCCTGTAAAATAATACTGCAATGTTAGGTTTTGACACAACAAAGCGATCGTGCATACTACACCACCACGTGCCGTAGAGAGGGGTTGGGGTACAAAATATCATGCCCATGCACCCCTCAAGAGATTCAAAACAACCATGGGGACTTTTACGGATCCATGATTTTTATACCCATGGGGTACAAATATCTTGGACCTCCTTGGCTGGTCCAAAACCTTCTCAGGGACCATGATATTTGTATCTCCTGTCCTGTAGAGCGTGTTGTATGTACACGACCCCTAAGCTCTGCAGTCGGGAGGCAGACGAACCTGGTCGGCGCGCCCTTCCTGATGGTGGGCGTAGCCGGAGTGGCGGCTGGCTTAGGCGACGTCGTCTTGATGAGGGGCTTGCGAGTCCCCGATCCAGGGCGACTAGGGAATACCAGCTTGGGCGCCGAAGAGGGAGACGCATCTGACGGCGAGGCTGTCGTTGAGGGGTCGCCGTCCCCGGAAGTCGTGGCGTTGAAGCCCGCCGGCAGGAGACTGCTCGAGACGTGGGCCACATTGACTTTCGAGAGGATGGCCTCGAGAGCAGAGGAGGGCGACTGGGTCTTCTCGGTGGAGCTGGGCGCCCCGGTACTGAGCTTGAATCCCGGCGGGAGGAACGCACTGATGTCCACCTCCTGAAACATCCATCATTCACGGTGAATATCTATGTTCACTGATACATTTGACTCTAGCGTACTTACTCATCGGACCTACCTTGGTGATGGCCAGCTTCTTCTCGGTCGTCTCCTGAGGGGCGACTGTGGTGGTACCAAGTGCCGGCTTGTAGCCCTTAGGGAGAAGGGCGGACGGATCCTCGAACTTGACTTTACTGAGGATCGCCTCCAGCCCGGACGACTTCTTGACAGTGGCCGAGGTGGTGGAGGTACCGGCAGAAGAGGCCGACGCCGTTGTCGGCTCCTGGGTAGTGGTGACTGGCGGCCTGTAGCCCTTTGGCAGCAGGGCACTCGCGTCCTCGAACTTGATCTTGCTGAGGAGGGCCTCCAGACCAACGGCCTTGACGGCGGGCTTGCTGGTCGACGCTGCCGTGGTGCTGGTTGTGGTCGGAGGCGCCTCACTCGTTGTCGTGCTCGGCGGCGGCTTGTAGCCCTTGGGCAACAGCGCACTCACGTCCTCGAACTTGATCTGGCCGAGCAACGCCTCGAGGCTCTTGGCCCGCTCGGTGGACGGGGCGGTGCTCGTCGATGTTGTGGCCGAGGGCGGGATCTGCTCCGATTCGGTGTCGTTGGTGAGCTTGTAGCCCGGGGGGAGCAGGTCCTCGAACCGGAAGGGTTTGTTTGTCTTGGGCCCAGGTGTGGTGGTGGTGGTCGTTGTCGTCGTCCTGGGCTTCGCATTGCGCGGTTTGAACCCGGCGGGCAGCAGGCTGGCGCTCAGGTCGTCAAACTTGATTGTGTCAAAGATCGACTCGAGATTCTTGTTCTTGGGTTTGGCCGTGGTGGTCGGCACGTTATTGCCGTACGGCTTGAGGGAGGTGAGCGCGGGGTGCGGCCGGGGCGTGGTGGCCCGGCGGTTGGACGGGTTGAACTTCTTAATGACCACGGGCACGGTGGGCAGTTTCGGAGGAGTTGTTGTGGCTGGGGGCGTCGTGGTAGGTGGCTCCGTCGTCGATGTCGTGGTTGTTGTGGTGGTTGTGGTGGTGGTGGTGGAGGTGGTCGAAGACGTGGACGTAGAGCTGGTCCCAGGCGCTGAGGTAGTGGTGGTGGAGGGTGGCATCACGTCAGGTAGGACGTCAACAGCGATCTTCGAGTCCCGGAAGCTCCCGGAAAGGAATCCGCTGGACAGCTCGGATTGCACTCGGTCTAACTTGTCGATGATGCTCTCCGTGGAGATACCCTTCGGGGGCTGCTTCGGCGCGCCGGTCTCGGACGAGGAGGGCGCGCTGGCCGGCGGTGCGCTGGCCGAGGATGTGGAGGAGCTAGAGGAGCTGGAGGAGGTCGAGGACGTCGACGTGGTGGTCTCGCCCTCACCCGTGTGCTGCTGGAGCGACTGCAGCGGGTGCTCGTCCTGAGTGACGGCGCTGTGCGGGATGAAGCGAGCCCCGGAGACGCTACGACTCGTCTGCACCGACGCCACGATGACCCAGCTCTCGGTGGCGTTGGGGGGCTCCGCGTCGGTCCTGCGCTCCTCCGTGTTGGGCGGTGCACCGATCTGAGCGTGCCCGTGCGGCTCTTCCTTATGGTTAGGGGGGAGCGTGGTCACGGTGTCGTGCGTCACACTCTTGGTCGTCACCACGGACACCACCATCTCGTCCTTGACCGCCTCCTTGGAGTCCTTGCCGGCCTCCTTGACGGGCTTCTTCCCCTGCTTCTTGGACACGCTCACCGTCACTCCCCCGACCTTGTCGTCTCGGTGGGCGGGGTCCGCGTCGATGGAGGCGCTGTCCACGAAGCCCTTGAAGTTGTCGTCCTGGACGAGCGCGTGCTGCGGACTCATGGCCACCACGTCGTAGCCCTCCTTGTGGGACTGCGCTGGAGGGGCGCCGTGAGTCGGGCCAACCACGCCGTAATCCGCGCGGGCCGTGTGGTCGTCCAGGGCGGTGCTGGCCGTCGAGCGGAAGGACGTGGACTCGACGTAGGGGTGACCGCTGTCGACATCGTCCACCTCCTCGCCTTCCAAGTCACCCTCGAGCTCGCCGTCCTCGTACTCGTACTCCTCTTCCTCGTCCGGCTGGGGCGTGGTAGACGACCGGAAGGTGTTGAAACTCGGCCCGGGGTGGTGCGCCCGGATACCCGCAGAGGGCACCGCCGGGCGGGGCACCTCCGTTGTCGCGGGCGACGCGGTCACGCGCCTCGTCGTGGTCGTCGGCGGCGGGCGTGTGGGTCTCGTGGGCCTGGTGGGCCGCGCCGTCGGCCTCCTGGCTGGAGCAGGTGAGGCCGAGAAGCTGGCGTTGTGGTCCGTGTCCTGCTCGGCCGACTCGGGGAACGGCTCGGCGGTGGCGGGCCGGGGTCTACCCCGGAT